CCAGAAGAAGAGAATAAATAAAGCATTGCTGAGGACTGACTACCTCGGTAAACCCTTCAGGCACAACCGACTTGGTGGCGTGCGATTCTTGTTAGGATTATCACAAAGAAGGTGGAGAAGGATGGCCTTGGACAAACCTCATAGTTTCTGGAGTGGCCCCAGAAGAAGAGAATAAATAAAGCATTGCTGAGGACTGACTACCTCGGTAAACCCTTCAGGCACAACCGACTTGGTGGCGTGCGATTCTTGTTAGGATTATCACAGAGAAGGTGGAGAAAGTTTGTCGTCTGCTGCTCCTGAGGTCAGTCTCTGAACCAACGGATCTAGACGACAAAATTGTTCAATGGAAGGTCTGATGGCTGTTTGCTAGGGATGCTGTAACTGTTGGCTCTCCTTCCTTGGTAAGGTGAGAGATTACAGGAGTGGTTCCCAACCTTAAGTTGCCCAAGTGTTCTTGGACTGTAATTCCCAGACGCCTTCACCATCAGCGGTGCTGCCTGGAGGTTTCTGGGAGTTGCAGTTCAAGAAGACTTGGGTTGACTGAAGGTTGGGAACTTGGTGATCACTGGAGAGCTTCCAACTCTACTGTTCTGTCATTTTGTAGTGAGGAGCAAAGGGATTGTGATTCTGCGACCCAGACCATCATCTGCGTGCCCGACTGGTGTAACCCCCCTCATTCTCGCTTTCTATTCTCTCCCTCCCTCCCTCTCTGCCACTCTTTAGCCCCAGCACCCCAGCGCTGACGTGAGAGAATTTGCCTGCGCCAGCATTTCCAAAGTCTTGCAGCAGAAGCAAACAATCCCCGCTTTTGTGCAAAGAGATGTCGTCCGGTGTTTGGGTCCGATGCTGCTGGATCCGAGCCTCGCCGTTCGAGAAACTGCAACAGGAGCTCTCCGGTGAGTTTTTTAAAAAAGGGGGCAAAACAGACTGGAGGAAGGAAATGTTTCAGAAGACCCTGTTCTGTCCCAGAGTCTTCAGCTAACACGTCCCCCGTATCTTGCATGCTGCTTTTGGCTGGGAAAGCATGAGGAGGCAAGAGTTATCTTCCTGGATCAAACCAAAAAGTCCACCTGTTTGATTCCAGAGATGGGGAAAATCACATTTTTAGTGGGTTGGGCTATGACACTACCGAGCATGGCCAATAATTTCTCCCTCTGGAGGGAGATTGTTACTTATTCCCTCTCTGGCCCAGTTTTACACAACTGCCAATATATTTTGAATGACAACTCATATCATTTCTCATCCCTCTTTCCCACTGGACATGCTAGCACACACAGAGGCATGCAACATATCTCCTTTTCATTCTCTGTTCTTTTCCCTAACGTCTTGTTTATGAGATTTAAAGCTGAAGGACAGATACACATTATTATTATTTTGGAGAGGCTTGCTGGCAACCATGCCAAACCATCATTTAAATATCCAGAGCTTGGGAACATACAGTCATGCCCCGCTTAACGATTACCCCATATAACGACAAATCCGCTTCACGATGATGTTTTTGCAATCACAATTGCGATTGCAAAATGATGTTTTAATGGAGTTTTTTTTGCTTTGCGACAATCGGTTCCCTGCTTCGGGAACCGATTCTTCGCATTATGACGATCAAAACAGCTGATTGTTGGGTTTTCAAAATGGCCACTGGCTGCTGAAAATGGCTCCCTGCTGTGTTTTTGGACGGATTCCTCGCTTTACAGGCACCGAAAATGGCCACCCCTATGGAGGATCTTCGCTGGATGGTGAGTTTTTCAGCCCATTGGAACGCATTGAACAGCTTTCAGTGTGTTTCAATGGGCTTTTTTATTTCACTTTACGACGTTTTCGCTTTACAGCGATTCGCTGGAACGAATAAACGTCGTCAAGCGAGACACCACTGTAATTTTCAATTGTACTCAAACTCCCAGGCCATGCTGGCTGGGGAATTCCAAAAGCTGTCATCCGAAGAAGTTATTTTCCAAGTTCTGTAAATATTAAGAGTCTTTAGTTTTACCAACAGTTTTGCACCACCCAAGGGAAATATGTCTGTTTTTCAAATCATTTAAGGGGCTTGTCCCAGTTTTAGTTACAGTTCTCCATCATGCCTGTAATTGCTAATTTTGTGATTACTGATTCTGAAGGTAAATATGATGCTAAGTTTAGGGGAGAAAACACACACACACAAAGCTTCTCATCAGAAGATTTTTTGTTTTCTTACAGAAACCTCAGCGCTTGTGGAGGGTTTGAGGTGTGTGATGACATGGTGACCAAAGATGTCATGACCCCCCTGGTAGCTTTATTGAAAGAGGTACGTAGCGTAGTGCTTAAAAAGCTGAGCGGAGAATCAAGAGGATCTTGGTTTGAATCCGGCCCGTGTCACCTTTGGTGTAAAAGCACCTGTGGAGCTGTCGCCCTAGGAACCAAAACTAAATTCACTGCATGGACGGCGCCAGCAACCAAACGGGGAGTTATTTTTGGCATTATTTGAAGTTCTGGTTTGTGAAACAAGCCTGCCCTTGGAGGCTTGGAAAGAGAGACCCCGCCTTGCCTAGATGAGTGACACCACTGGCGTGCCGCTCTTAGGGAAATCTGCCGCTTACTGGCATTTTAACCATCAGGTGTGCTCTGATTCATCCTGATTTGTTCTTGTTTCCTTCCACCACTTGTGCTAATATATATATATAAAATCAGTGCCGGGCAGGGCTTGAGGAAAGCAACGGTTCTCTGAAAGAAGCCAAAGACACCAACAAGAACTACTTTGAAAATATCGCCTACGAGGCGGTCAACCTGCTTTGGAATGTCTGGTAAGCTACAGCTTCCTTCCCTCCCTCCTTCCTTCTCTCTGTCTATCCTTCTATCCTTCCTCCCTCCCTCTTCCCTTTCTTCCTTCCCTCCCTCCTCCCTCCCTCCTTCCTTCTCTCCTTCTATCCTCCCTCCCTCCCTCCTTCCCTCTTCCCTTTCTTCCTTCCCTCCCTCCTTCCTTCTCTTCGTCTATCCTCCCTCCCTCCTACCTTTCTACCTTCCCTCCCTCCTTCCTTCTCTCTGTCTATCCTTCCCTCCCTCCCTACATTTTAATAGCATTTGTACCACTTTTCATTTAATAAAAAACCTATCAAAGCACTTTTTAGGTGATGATGATAATGGCTAAAGACCCGTCTTTGAAATGACTCTATAATATAGCATTTTGTTACTACTGTAACTGTTGTGGCTCTGTCCTATGGTAACGCAAAGCCAAGTGTGCTGCTTATAGACCGCCCCATAGCACTTAAAGGACTCTCTGGGTGCTTTACAGCATAGTTATTGCAGGCGACGCATTGCCCCTTTCCCCAGCAAGCTGGGTGCTGAATTTACCAACCTTGGAAAGGTGGAAGGCTAAGTCACCCTGGAGCCAGCTACCTGAATCCACCGGGATCAGACTCAGATCGTGAACAGAGTCTGGACTCCAGTCCTGCAGTTTAACTTCTGTGCTACGAGGCTCCTAAAGTGGAACCTTTATTGTACGTCTCCCTCCCTCCCTCTTCTCCAAAAACATGAGAAACAATAGGTGGAATCTTGTTGGCCTTCACACGAGATATACGAAACCCGCTGTGGCTAAATGCCGCTAATTGAGGAGGTGCTGGGGCGCACCTTGGTTGCTCAGGCAGGCAGGCAGGTGCCTGAGACACATTCCAGTGTATCAGTTGGCCCTTCCAAGTGACCTCCATGTTATACCAACACCAATAGCCTTCTGCCCTCTAAATCCTAAACAGATCTTTTGATGGACATGTGTGGATCTGTTTGCTAAAAATTCCTTTTGCTCAACTTTTAGCGAGTGCAACAGTACGGCAGTGTCTATATTCAACAGAGAAGGCTGCCTGGAAATCCTGCTGCAGTATCTGAAGAGATTTCATACAAGTGTGGACCTTGCTATTGTAGTGGGTAAGTCGAGGGAAATGACCGATAGCCTGACCTTTTCTTCCCAGGGTAACTGACCACACACCCCCGGCCTTACCCGGCATTTCTGACTGGGAGGGAGCTATCTGTTAAATCTGCCAGCCACAGCAGTCTATAAACTAAATACTTGGCAATTCGGGTGGTGGTGGTTTCATAAATGGATGTCCTGCTTTTACTATGTTTTCCAAACATTGCAGATTGGCATATGGGGAGGGGGGAATTGAAACACAGCCACCGTGTTGTACAAGCAACCTTATTATCAAATCAAACAACTCCCGAGCTGAAAACAGTGTGAGACAATAAATAGCGATAATAATCATGTGCTGTCAAGTCAAATCTGACTTACGGCAATCCTTTTCAGGGATTTGCGGGTAGAGAAGACTCGGAAGTGGTTTACCATCCCCTTCCTCTAGGGGGCACCCTGGGACCGGCAGCTGGCCCAAGGCCACCTAGGCTGGCTCTCTTTGCCGGAGGCCCAGTGGAGGAATCGAACTCATAACTTCTGGCTCCACAGCCAGAGACCTAAACCACTTAGTTATCCAGCCAGTGGGATGATAAACAGCCACACCAATAACAATACTTTTGAAAAAAAGCAGGCGAATAGGAGTCTCTGTGCCAGTGTCTCACACCAAACCCATGTTACTGTCTTTTCTTAAAAAGTCGGTGAATAAAAAAAGTCTAGGCTCCCGAAACGGTAAGATGAAGTTGCTGAGGCACCGAAGACCTTTTTGGCATCCATAAGTGGGACCTAGATTGGAAAAGCCCCTCACTTTCCTCTCCGAATGTGGGGTCTGGAGGATCTTAATGCCCACTCATTTGGAGAACGGCAGCCTTTGCCCTGATGGGCCAACGATAGTGGGCAGGACTCCTCAGGGAGGCTGCAGGTTGATGATCAGCATCTTCGAGAACTGAGCCCACCTGCAGTTTGAGGTCTTCCGCCAAGGCCCGAGGGCCTGTCCCGTCACCACAGCAAGAACCCTCTGCCCTAGTGCTGAAAACAGTGGGCAGGATTTGAAAGCCCTCTGTTGTTTCTCCGGTCTCCCCAGCGTCCTGTTTACAGGCTGTCACGGAAGAGAACCCGGATCTGCTTTCTGCCTTTGGCACGTCGGAGCGTCAGGTGCTGGAAACCGTCATGGCGTCATCGGAGAAAGCAATGGAGCACATCCTTCTGCGGACGCTGGTGGCAGGTAGGGTTTCATGCTGCGTTCGGGGTATCGAGCAATACAGAATAAGTCTCCCACGTAGATGTCAGGCTGATTCTCTGCCATCTTGAAGTAGACCCTCTTGGAAACTGGCCGCATTTCGGTCTGTAAGCACATTCTTGGGAGGCCCGCTGCTGTCCCATTGCTGCGTTCGGGGGTATCGAGCAGTACAGAATAAGTCTCCCACGTAGAAGATGTCAGGTTGATTCTCTGCCATCTTGAAGTAGAGCCTTGAAGTAGACCCTCTTGGAAACTCTGGCCGCATTTCGGTCTGTAAGCACATTCTTTCTCTTTCTTACTTTTTAACCTTTGTATCCTGCCTTTTCTCCAGTGAGAGCAAGGCAGCCTATACAACGCTCCTCCTTCCGGCTTGCTCCTTCTAACACCCCTTTGGAGGTAGATCAGACGGTGACAGTGTTACTGGCCCAGGTTCATGTAGTGAGTGAGCTTCACGCCCGAATGGACCTTTGAACCCCAGTCTTCCGGGTCACAGTTTCAAAGAGGTGTAAACCATCTCATGCCATCTGTATCTTCCATTTCTGTGTTTTAGTTAACGTGGAATTGAGATGACATTCTTAACCTGTGCTTATGCTTGCTAGGTCCTTAAAGCACTTGTTGGAAAATGGAGGCATCACATAAATAAATAAGTTGACAGTGTGCCCGGGTAAATGTGCCCAAGGGTGTGTGTAAGGATCGAACTGGCAAAAAAAAAAAAGGAAGAAATGTGATACCTTAAAGACCAACTTCTATATTTTAATGTGAGCTTTTGTGGACAAGGGCGGATCAAGCTAGCCACTGCACCTTCCGTGTTGCCCTGCCGTGTTATGACGTCAGAGGCTTGAAAGCTGACTGACCTCTGTCTTTAATCTCCTTTTTACTAAAGGTGTCACCTGGAATATAAAGAGCACCTTGCCTGCTGGCAGCCAGGCAAGTACCGTGAACGCCATTCTGAAGATTTTTTCAGAATGTTTAGCTATCGACGCAGGCGAGACCATTATTTCGATGAAGGAAGCGGAAGCCGAACGGTTGAAAAGCTCAGCCCAGTTGGACGCAGAAGAGCACCAAGGCAACGGTGAGAACTCGGTGCTTAATGAAGAAGAGGAGATGGAGGAGGACGCGCCTAAAGACATAGTCAAACGGGAAAACGACGTGTCGGATCTCCTCCCAGTAAGTGACGCTGCATATTTCAGACCAGGTTGGTAGAAAATGATTTCTGCTCTGGAGGTTAGAACTTGTAACTCTAGAAAGGGTTGCGGCTTGTTACTCTAGGAAGAGTTACAACTTGTTACTCTAAGGAAGAATCACAACTCGTTAGCCTGGACCCCCCCTCCCCGTCCAGCACCAGAAAATGGACACCAGAGCATGAGTGCTGTAGCGAAACAGCGCTAAACGGGGCAGTGCTATACAAGATACTACTGTACTCAGATGGGCAATTCTAAATATTTCCTCATAATTCTTTCCAACTAGGCCCATTATGGAAAGATTTCATACCTGGGATAGCCCACCTCGGTGTAGGTGGGATATTCCGGGTGACTCCTAAGCATCTCCAGTCAAAAAAGGGCCCTAGTAGCAGATAATGGGAAAGATTAACAGAGACTTTGAAAACTGCGGCCTTTCTGCGGTGGGCAAAACTAGTCTGGATGGGCCAGCAGTTGAATCCGGCATAAGTAAGATTCTTACACCCTTTGCTTTGTAGAACAGCAACCAGGAAGTGAAACAGGCGACGGCTTTGCTCCTGGCTCAGCAGACCGCTCTGGAAGTCATCGTGAATATGTGCTGCAATGAAGGTCGGTGTGGCTGTTTTGTTCATCTGGTGCTAGCAAGAGCTTAGTAAGCTTACCTTTTTTGGTCTACAGCTCCCGGAATCTCCCAGCCAACAATTCTAATTACTTCACCAAATTACAACCTCGTGATTCTGTAGGCGGCAGGCATGGCAATTAAAGTGATAATCAAACTGCTGTAATGCTTGAGTGGGAGGTACACAAACACACGCACACGCACTGGCCAGAATCCTCTTGGGTTTCTGGCCAGCACAAACCCAGAGTGGCGTCCTTAGCACGTGATAGTGGCCGCTGGCTGTCACGCCCTCGGACCTGCCCATTCCCCCAGTCACACACTCGGTTGTGCCCCCCGGGGGTGAGACAGCCAGCTGGAAAACGGCCAAAATCAGTGACCCCATTTCCCTTGTAGAAGGCGGTAGCCGGGTGAGTCTTGGCAAGCATTATAAGTGAAAACAATTTTTAAAGAAAGTTTAAATAAAGAAGAGAAAAATGTAAGGGAAAACTATTTCTCTTAAGCGCATAGTATTTTGTAATTGGATTCCGGCTAATTTCTCGTAGTGAGTAGCTGGAACAATCGGTTACGTTTTTTGTTGTTTCCTCTCCCCTTCCCTTCTTCTGTTGTTTCTTTCTACCGTGTCAAAGTCGAAACAGCAGACTCTCAACGGTGTATTGCACCCAGAAATACAGTCCCGACAATAACAATTTAAAAGGAGCTGTGGTGATTCTGAGTTCCTAGAATTTCGGCTGACTGGATTCTGTTTTCCCAGATCCTTCCGATGACGAGTGGGAGGAATTATCCAGCAGCGATGAAAGCGATACCTTTACCGAAAACAACCTTGAGGAAGAGGGGAAGCTGCTGTCTCCCCTGTGCCTGTCGGCGGAGGTTCACACAGCCCTCATGAACCACCTTGTGCCGAAGAAGGTAGAACCCCGCTGTCATCCCGTAATTTGGGGTGGACTGTATCCATTTTGAAGCCTGCAGGTCCTTCTGGATATCTCCCTTGTGCGGGAGGGAGAAAGGCCTGGCCTTTTAGTTTTCCTAAACTAGAACTAGATCTCTACTCACCATCTTTTGCTAGATGTCTTTTACTTCTTAAAATGCACGCCCGTGGTCAATGAAATAAGAATCGTAACAATAATAATGATGTAATGACGTGGAATTGCTCCTTTTCCTCCCTAGATACTTGAAAAAACGGCTTTCCCCAACGGTATTGCTGTTGACATCTGTACTCGCCATTCTGCTTGGAAGCCACTGATTAAAAAGTAGGTGTTTGCTCATTTGCCTCATGTTTTTTAATGTGGGCGGAGGTGGTGGGTCATTGCATCGGTGGTAGAGCACCATGTTTGCACACAGAAGGCCCCATATTCAGACCCAGGGATCCCCAGGTAGGGCAGGAAAGAGCCTGCCTGAAACCTTCAAAAGAAGCTGCCAGTCAGAATGGACACTATTTGGCTGTATGGATCAGTGGTCTGACTCAGTGCACGGCAGCTGTTTATGGCAGCACAGTTCCTGTTTGCATCCTTGATGGGCTTAGTGTGGATGGTTTACGGCACTTGCCAGGATGTCCTGTTTTGGCTGTTCCAGGTTGAACATGGTTCAGTACAGAGCCCTCACCTGCCTCCACAACATCCTGCTGGTGTCCGACATGGACTGTCTCGGGGGAGCATCCGTGCTTCAGTCGCTCTCACAGCACCTGTCCCAGTTGATTTTTTCTCAGCCTGGTGAGTATTTGAGGACATTTCATGCTGGGTTCCCCCAGCGTCTGCCTTCCCCCTACCCCTTCATTCCTGCTTGGGGCTAAACCTCAGCTGTAGCCAATCAAGCAGGCTTATCTCCGATCTCTGAAAGAACAGAGGATTTACAAGTGCCTGCTCCAACGAGGAAGTAACAGGGAGAGGTGGCTTACATGAGGAAGTAACAGGGAGAGGTGGTTTACAATTTGAGGTTTGGCTGCAGAGGGTGGGAGGGAGGGGTGGTACTCTGCTCATTACCCCAGGATTTTCACTTGGTACTCTGCGCATTACCCCAGGATTTTCACTTTTAACCCATTTGGGGTAATTTACCCGTTCCCCGACCACTGCTGTAGAGAGATACTTTGGCTGTTCATGGCGATGGACGAGGTTCCATTTTTTTTGCCTTTCCATGGAGCAGGTCTTGGCAAACTCTGTTCCCTCAGTAAGGAGGATTCCAGGAAGTGTGACAGTGACCATTAGAACGACCTTGTTGGTGGTGGTGTTTTTGCTAAGAGCAGTTAAATTATCCTTAACAAGCATTTGCTGGAGGGTTAGGAGGTGGGTCCAGATTGCAGGAGTGAACGAGCAAACCCTGAATTTCTGGAAGGCAAGGGGTCTGAAAACCGAAACACATTTCAGCCTGGTCCAATGTGTCCATTCTCATTAAAACTGGTGTCTTGAACGCTGCATGAATTTAGTGTTTTTATTTTTTTAAAAAAACTATTTTTACTTTTGATCAGAATTTTCAAAAGAGGTGGAGTTTCTGGAAGCAGTAACCAGTGCCTTGAGAGCTCTTTTGCAAAAGTTGGCGTCCAATAACATACCGCAGGTGAGATGATTGGATCCTCCACCCTGTTCTCCCCCAAATTAATTTATGGCAAAATATCCACTAAGCTTAAGGATTCCACTTTCTCCCTCCCTCCCTTCCCTGGCTATTGTTCCTTCCCTTTTTCAAACCTTGTTTTACGCAGTGCCTGACCCCTGAGCAGCTCATGACGTTGTGTGAAGCCGGAATTCACAGCAGCAACATCAGCGTCCGTGTGAATGTCGTGAGCATCCTAGGGATCGCAGGTAGCGTTCTTGCGAAAGTGGAAGACACGGTGGAAACGCTAAAGGTAAAACTTGGATGGCCCCTCTCTCTTTGAGCCTTTAGCCGCCACTGTGGTATCTGAAAGACCGCTGAGCTGCTTTGTGGCATGTGTTACTTTTGTGTCCTTCCAGATGATCGGGAAATTCCTCCTCGACGTTGCAACCAAAGACCCTTCCCTCGTGGTCGTTGGAGAAGCCCTAGACGCCCTCTTCGACGTTTTCGCCGACGGCAGGGAAGCCGAAAGAGCAGCTGAGCAAATAAAATTGCTCCATGTACTTAAGGAATTCCAGCCCGTTTTCAAGTCGCGGGTGAGCATATTGGATCAATATGAGAGGGGGGAACGTTAAGGGGCCTGGAAAGCTTGTGAAGGTGTCAGGAGGCAAAGCCGGCTCTTGACTAGAGATGGGCACGAATCGCCAGGTTGGTGGTTCGTTTGTTAGCCAAACCGCAGTTCAGTGCCCTTCCACCCTCCGGGAGCTTTCCCTAATCCTGAGTGTTGCACATGCTGATGGAAATTTGTGTAAATTACTCAGTTTTGCGCAAGTTAATGAGAAGAACGGAACAACCCCTGAACAATTTTCTTTGGTTTGTATTCAAAGATTGTTGTTTTTTCCATAGTTGTCATTTATTTCTCTCTCTCTCTCTCTCTCTCTCTTTGACACCTGCAAAACCGGTGAAATAAGTACTACAAATCCCATTGTCCTCACATGGGCGGTGGGGGGGGATGGCTGTGCCTTTCTGGAACAAAAATATCTCATAGTTGTCATTTATTCTCTCTCTCTCTGTCTTTGACACCTGCAAAACCGGGGAAATAAGTACTACAAAACCCATTGTCTGCACCTGGGCGGGAGGGGGGAGAATGGCTGTGCCTTTCTGGAACAAAAATATCATTCTGCAAAGAAAGCAAAATAAATATAAATTAGTTTGTGCTGTAATCTAGTGGCTGAAATCCAGTAGTAAGTTGCCACTGGAGGAGGGCCACTGAATCCATTGCACTTACAGGGGAGCTGGCTCGCCAAATTCCCTCTGATTCAATGGGCCTACTCTAGTTACTTCTGGCTTTCAGCCCACAAAACGCTTGGCCATGCACGGGGCTGGGTGTAACCAACACCTCGACCGAATACCACAGTGTCTGCAGTTTGAACTTTATCCATATAAGTACTGATCAGGATACTGGCCTGAATCAATGATTCTGTAGCTAGTCAGCGCTGATTGCAAGTTTTGTGCATCCATCTGTTCTGATTTGGGCTAGCAGTTGGATTTAGGCATTTGACAGCATTTCACCCTTTTTGGAACAAAACAGTTCCCTTAATTGGGTGTTTTGGGCTCTTATCTCTTGCAGAAGGTCTTAAGGGTGTACGGATTCCACCACACACTTTTTTATTTTAAATTTTGCAGATGCGGAAAGAAGGGAAAGGGTGCTACAGCATCGACCAGCTATGTGTGCTTGACAATGTAAAACTGAATTTAAGAAGATTTATAGCCTATCAAGAGACACTGGAGAGGAAAAAATGACGTTTGACTCCTAAAAAGAACGTAAAACTATTTTTTTAATTATTATTTTTGTTAAATATTTTAGGAACGAATAGCACCTTGCAGTGAGTGGTGGTAGAAGGAGGAGGGGTGGTGTGTTTGCTTTGGACTTCACCATTCTTATTGATAAGGAATGGGGAAAGTGGGGGGTGGGGAGAGATTTCTTCCAGTTAATAAACAGAATTGGAAATTAAAGCTGATTCAAGATCTGTCCACGCCAGGCATTGCCTTACGTCAAGACTGGAAATGTATTGGGAACTCTTAGGAGGTACAGTCTTCTAAGCACGAGGCTGCCTGATACTGAATAAATATTATGAATATTGGATGAAAGCATCAGGTTTCCAGGTGGCGAGAATTTTTCTTCCTTTTGAAGTCATATCGCAGATATAATGGTCTAAGCCAGGGACCGGGGCGTGGGGAGTAGCGATCTGGAAACTTATGGCTCATGTGCCCGCAGAAAGGGCTTTGCGTGGGAGCTGTGGCACGCGTGCCTTAGGTTCGCCATCACTGGCTTAGACATTGGCACTCTTCCACAACCACAGCTAGGCCTCTGTCCGAGACGAAACACCTGCAAAACCTGGGAAATAAGTACTATAAAACCCATTATCCTCAAATGGGGGGGGAAATCTGTGCCTTTCTGGAACAAAACTATCATTCTGCAAAGAAAGCAAAATAAATACAAATTAGTTTGTGCTGCGACAACCATTATTTTTATATATAATGTGTATTAGTGTATATTAGTACACTAATACTGTACAGTGCTTGATGAGGTGATATTAATTGGAAAAACATTCGCAAGACACAACTGATATTGCTGTGAAGTCAACCCCATTGGCTCAATGCTGGTACCGGCTCTGCACCATCCACGTTGGCTCCCCACCTTGTTAAAAAAAAAACATACGAGAGTGCTTTGGACTCCTGGCATCCTCTTTGGAATATTTATGGGGCTCTTCAGGGCTGGGATACCCGTATAATCAATTTGGTGTAGGGGGGGGGGAAGAATCAGGTTTCATGGGCTGCTGGCCTTTTCTAGACTGCCCGGGATTTTTCATGTCTTGGCTGCATAAAAGATAGATGGCCATCGACTGCTTCTGTTGAGCAGTGGCAACAGGTGTATACGTGGCTGCACTACAGAACTGCCCACGCCTGCCACCTTGAAATGTGTTTGCTGAACGGTTGGGGGGGGGGAGGGAAGAAAATTGCAGATGGCACAGAACCCGTTCCTTTTTATCTCAGCTCGATCGAGCGGCTTGAAACTGAGAGTTAATGCAGAAGTCAGAAATTTCCAGGGAGATCAGTGTTCGTCAGTGGAGCAAAACGGGCAAAGTCTTGTGCCGCTTTGAAGATGCCATGTTTTGCTTGGCATAAGCTTTTACGGACCGAGTCTAGAGGACCGTCGACAAGTAAAGCTCGCTAAATCCTTCAAGTGCCACTTCTGGGCTACAGGCCGCGCCGGATAACACTCTGGTCGTCTTTCAGCGCCATGTGATCGGGTTGGTTTTGCTGCGAGCATCCGAAAAAGTGGCCCGGCGAAGCCACAAGAGGGATGTGGCATCTTTTGATTTGGCGTGGATGAAGAAGGTCAGGAAGCAAGGCACTATGGCTGGAGGAAAGAAGTTTGGATTGCACGGGGAACCAAGATAGATCAAGTCTGCATTCAGCTTATGGAGGCCAAAAATATGGATGGCCTTGAATGATTAATTCCTTTTTGTTCTGTCCTCAGCCTTTTGGTTTTACATGAGGTTGCTTTGAAATTTTTTTTTAAAGTTCATATATAATTTGGCTGGGTGGCCCTTTTGGCCAGAAAAGTGTTTTCGTAACTATTTAAATAAAGAATTTTTTTAAAAAGGAGAAACTATTTCAGATTTACCTTCTACTTCCGCTCACATCTTGGTCAGTGGAGGAACAGCTTTGTACGGGTTGCTTTTATCAAACCAACAACTGGTGTAGCACACTGGGTGGAGTGTGTCTGCTAACAGCTGACAGGCATGTTCAATGCGTGTGCACGTTCGGACACTCCATGTGATGAAGAATTTAATGGCTTTGGGGTGATGAAAACTAAAATGTTGCTCTGAACCAGGCATTACTGGAATCTCTGCACCCCAAAATGATACCCTTCATCTTTCGTTTTTTGAGCGAGATGGTAAAATAACCTTCTAAATATGCCAATACCTATGTAACAAGGATTGTGTTCTTATTACCTAGAAGATGATACAGTATAATATATCAAAGCAAGCTTTTATTTGCCTACTCCTCAATGTTTTTCACCAAATGAATAATTATTATCTGTGCATTGTATGGCTGTGTTTTCCACCCAACACACAGCTTTATGGATGGTGGTTTTTTTTCTCTTTTTATAGAAAAGACCAGTGATTCCCAGACTTGAATTGCCAGATGTTCTTGGACTACAACTCCCAGAAGCCCTTGCCAGCCCAGCTGCTGGTGAAGGCTTCTGGGAATTGCAGTCCAAAAACACCTGGGCTACCCAAGATGGGGCACCCACTGGAGAACACTTAATCAGTTGCTTAAAACAGAGAGTTTTAACGACCACATTGAAGACACCGTTATTTTTGTACTGGAATAGACATTTTAAAAATAGATGCATTTCTATCAAAATATATTTATTGGGTCCTTGGGAGGATCCAGTTTAGTGAAATCCGAAAGTACCTCTTTTCAAAGATATACGCGGGTTGGCCCCTATGCATACATCTAAGTATTCTGTACATGTAGATAGTAGTCAGATACACAAATGAAACTTCTACAGGGGGGATGTGAGTTTTAGTTCAATGTCCATGGCAAATAGCGGGTTGGGGAAGGCTGTCTTTAAATCTTTTGACATATTATTCCGTTAATTTTTTTTTTTTTTTAAAAGGGAATTGAAGGAAGGTGAAAGATGTTGCATCCGTTGCTCAGTTTCAGACAGCTGTCAGTCGTGTGGGTTTCAAAGCTAAGCTTCTTGTTCTTAAAATCTCCCGAGCATGAGTCTTTTGGCGGCTTATAAATAAAGGTATGGAAATTCATGCTGAGGATTTGCAGAAGCGCCAGCCACCTGCCTCTTCATATTTCTAAAATTGGTGTCACTTTCTTGCTGTTCGATGCAAATACAGCATAAACAGTTCCTGCCTGTGGCAAATTTTGTTCATTATTATGGAAGAAAGTGTTGCATGCTTTAAAAACATGCATTAAGTAGTGCTCAGTAAATGTTTGGTCAGTTTAATCATACATACAAAGATGGAAGATGTCCGTGAGCCATTGATAACCTAAACAATTTTCACAAATCCATCCGGAATAAGGAAAACAAACTAATTTCCCCCTTCCAACAAATGCGCTTGACCCTCTTTGTTCTGTGATTCAATTTTCCATTACAGCTATAAATGTAAACCCTTTTTTGAATAACTTAGAAACCTGAAGTTATTACTATTAAAAGGGGGTAGGAAACTGTGTGTTGCGTTTTATTAATGCCATTCAGCATGCTACATCTGTATTGGGAATATTTTAAAATTAAATGTACAACTTGAGTCCCTAAAGCAAATCCAGTCTGAACCATATCTGGAGTCGAAAATGGCTATCATACTTTGGGCACATCATGTGAAGTCAATATTCTCCTGGGAGAGTCAACAATGGAAATAATAGAAAAGACGATAATGCTGGAAAAGGTTGAAGCCAGCAGGAAAAGAGGGAAACCAAATAAGAATTAAATTGACTCCCTAAAAATCGTTGCATCCATGAGAGCCGTTGTCCACAGGCCACTGTAAGCTGGAGGTGACTTGAAGGCATGTAACAACAGTAGCAAACATTATGAAATCAATATACAAATGTGTGCCAAATTTCTTCCCACCTCCTCAAAACAATTGTGTTGCATTTGTATATGTGCACATATACAGACGCCAACATTTGCTTTTTCTTGTCCAGGTCAAACTGTGTGCTTAAGATTAGTTTTCCTTTTTAAGGTTCCAGAGGACGACCGGGGGCATTTTGAGATAATTCCTGAGAATACTCTGAATATGGTTGTTGTGGGTTTTTTCGGGCTCTTTGGCCGTGTTCTGAAGATTGTTCTACCTACCTTTGGCCTAAGAGCCCAAAAACCCCACAACAACCATTAGATCCTGGCCGTGAAAGCCTTCGCGAACACTCTGAATATGTTTGAACATCCGCGATTGGTACCATGGATTAGGCAGTTCCGTTAACACGATCTCCCAGTGTTTTGTGGTGGGTTTGATCTTGTCAGTCAGAACTTTAAAAGCTGTTTGAAATAATTCATAGGTTTCATCCCTTGGGAATCTGAAAACGGTGTTTCATCTTGTGTTTTCTTCTGCATGTGCACAAGAGAGAGAGAGAGAGAAAAGTAAGCTGTCCAAAATCTGGCTACACCTTCCTCAGCTTCCGATTGGAAGCTTGATGCAATTTCGAACAGATAGAAGTCTCTTTTTTGTGAAATACATTTCCCTTTTGCAGAGATGCTTTTGGATCTAGGATCTTTGCCGAGCAATGGTCTTCATTCTATGCATTCCCTCCATGTCGACAATAAATGCATTTTTCTTGCTTCGGATGCCAGATTTCTAACATGAACTCCACCGTGAATGGCGTACTTCTTTTAATTCACAATACAGTTTCGCCACAGAGAACTGGGAATTATTTCACCCCAAGCTCATCATTCCTTGCCTGTTTCAATGTCACTGCGTCTCTTTATTTTGCTGTATATTTGTCGCTGTGAGGGAGGTGCGATAAGGACCTCGGATACTATAAAATGGCAGCAGCCATCCAAGCTGGGGAATAAAGATGGGAAGACTTCCACTAAGTGGCAAAGGAAGAGGGTATCCATCTAGGCGGACTTCGGCTGGCTGAAAGTTTATTTTTTGTTGCAATAAATCAAAACGAGGCCTTTTAAGATGCTACCGGGCTTTATTATAGATTATACATCTGGATGCCACACCATCTTTTGACTCCTGTTTCTTTTTCTTCCAGCTGAAATAAAATTGTTCAATTTATAAAAGGGCCATATCGATAATGCTTTTGTTTGGTCATGAGTAAACTATGCTGGCATTTGTTACTGAAATTGTGTTTTTTCCTCACCAAACTCCTATTGCTCATGAAAGCTCAAGGTTAGGATGCTTTCCAAAATCCCTAGTCTTGCGACTCTTCGTCGCTCCAAGTGCTGCAAGGCGCCTGGATCATCATCCTCCCTGCTCTTCTCAGAGATGCTCCCACACTTTTGGTCGTCATTAAGAAAAGTCATTCCTGCTTTTTTATTTTTTTTTAAAGCTGCTGACCCAGGGGCGGGAAGGGGAGGAGGGTCCCTTCCATCTCGGCCGTTCTAAGATGATGAGGATGATGAGTCGAGGACTAAACACGGGGGGAAGGGTGTGTGTGTGTTGCCACCGCCAACGTGCTTTGAGGGGAAANCCCACTTTTGGTCGTCATTAAGAAAAGTCATTCCTGCTTTTTTATTTTTTTTTTAAAGCTGCTGACCCAGGGGCGGGAAGGGGAGGAGGGTCCCTTCCATCTCGGCCGTTCTAAGATGATGAGGATGATGAGTCGAGGACTAAACACGGGGGGAAGGGTGTGTGTGTGTTGCCACCGCCAA